CTTTTTTTTTTGTATAGGTGCTGGCAGATTCGGGTCCCATTGCTGCTGCCAGGCCCCTTAAAACTGCCATGGGCCCCCTTTACCGCTCCCCATGCTGCTGCCGGTCCAAGTTTCATGGGTCCCCGTACGGCCTCCCATTGCTGCTGTTCCCCTCGCCCCAATCTGCCAGTGCCCCTTTAGGGGTTTCCTCACACTCTGGTGGTTCCCCTTTTTGTCCTAGGTGCTGCGTTACGGGGCCCCCCATAGCTGCTGCCAGGGCCCTAATCTGCCCTGGGCCCCCCACCCCCCCTCTGCTGCTGCCAGGTGTTTTGGGGCCCCCCCCCCCCCCCCCCACGCACCCTTTTTGGGGCCCCCCCCCGTTTGGGGTTTTTTTCCCGGTTTTTTCCCCCCAAATGTCCCGGCCCCCTTTGCCATGGGCCCTGTACCCCTCCATTGTGCTGCCAGGCCACATTTCTGCCATGTGCCACTTTCAGGTCTCCTCACACTGCTGGTGTGTTCCATTTTTTGTCATAGGTGCTGGCAATTATGCCCTCCATAGCCTCCAGCCCCAATCTGCCATGGGCCCCTAAACCGCCTCCTCAACTGCTGGCAGGTCCAGAGTGACTCATGGGTTCCCCTGTAACGGCCTCCCTACTATTCTGTATAAGTATTGCTGCTGTCTCCATCGGCCACACTCTGCCAAGTGCCATTTAGTCACTCCTCACAGAGGTGTGGTTTCCAATTTTTGTCATAGTGGTTGCCTGGCAGATTACGGGCTCCATAGCTGCTGCCAGGCCCCTAATCTGCCATGGGGCCCTGTACCGCCTCCTCATACTGCTGCCAGGGGTCCAGGCATGTCTTCAGCATGTGTCCACTGTTCAGTCGACTCACACTATGCTGCGTTCCATTTCATAGGTCTGCCATTACGTGCCTTTCAGTTCTCCTCAACACTGCTGGGCCCCTGTGTTCCATTTTTGTCATAGTGGTGCTGGCAGATTACGCGGGCTCCCATTGCTGCTGCACAGGCCCCTAATTTGTCATGGGCTGCCCTTTACCGCCTCCTCATGCTGCTGCCAGGTTCCATCAGTGTGCTCATGCAGTCCAGGTCTCCGCACACTGCTGGTGTGTTCCATTTTTTGTCATAGGGTGCTGGCAGATTACGAGCCTCCCATTGCTGCTGCCAGGCTCGTAATCTGCCATGGGCCCCTGTACCGCCTCCTCATGCTGCTGCCAGGTCCACAGTGTCTCATGGGTCCCTGTACGGCCTCCCATTGCTGCTCTCTCTATCGCCACACTCTGCCATGTGCCACTTTCAGGTCTCCTCACACACTGCTGGTGTGTTCCATTTTTTGTCATAGAGTTCTGGCAGATTATGGGCCTCCCATAGCTGCTGCCAGGCCCCTAATCTGCCATGGGCCCCTGTACCGCCTCCTCATGCTGCTGCCAGGTCCACAGTGTGTCATGCCATGTGCCACTTTCAGGTCTCCTCACACTGCTGGTGTGTTCCATTTTGTCATAGAGTGCTGGCAGATTACGGTCCTCCCATTGCTGCTGCCAGGCCCCTAATCTGCCGTGGGCCCCTGTACCGCCTCCTCATGCTGCTGCCAGGTCCACAGTGTCTCATGGGTCCCTGTACGGCCTCCCATTGCTGCTGTCTCCATCGCCACACTCTGCCATGTGCCACTTTCAGGTCTCCTCACACTGCTGGTGTGTTCCATTTTGTCATAGAGTGCTGGCAGATTACGGGCCTCCCATTGCTGCTGCCAGGCCCCTAATCTGCCATGGGCCCCTGTACCGCCTCCTCATGCTGCTGCCAGGTCCACAGTGTCTCATGGGTCCCTGTACGGCCTCCCATTGCTGCTGTCTCCATCGCCACACTCTGCCATGTGCCACTTTTAGGTCTCCTCACACACTGCTGGTGTGTTCCATTTTTTTTCTTAGGGTGCTGGCAGATTACGGGCCACCCATAGCTGCTGCCAGGCCCCTAATCTGCCATGGGCCCCTGTACCGCCTCCTCATGCTGCTGCCAGGTCCACAGTGTCTCATGGGTCCCTGTACGGCCTCCCATTGCTGCTGTCTCCATCGCCACACTCTGCCATGTGCCACTTTCAGGTCTCCTCACACTGCTGGTGTGTTCCATTTTTTGTCATAGGGTGCTGGCAGATTACGGGCCTCCCATTGCTGCTGCCAGGCCCGTAATCTGCCATGGGCCCCTTTACCGCCTCCTCATGCTGCTGCCAGGTCCACAGTGTCTCATGGGTTCCTGTACGGCCTCCCATTGCTGCTGTCTCCATCGCCACACTCTGCCATGTGCTACTTTCAGGTCTCCTCACACTGCTGGTGTGTTCCATTTTTTGTCATAGGGTGCTGGCAGATTACGGGCCTCCCATAGCTGCTGCCAGGCCCCTATTCTGCCATGGGCCCCTGTACCGCCTCCTCATGCTGCTGCCAGGTCCACAGTGTGTCATGCCATATGCCACTTTCAGGTCTCCTCACACTGCTGGTGTGTTCCATTTTTTGTCATAGGGTGCTGGCAGATTACGGGCCTCCCATTGCTGCTGCCAGGCCCGTAATCTGCCATGGGCCCCTGTACCGCCTCCTCATGCTGCTGCCTGGTCCACAGTGTCTCATGGGTCCCTGTACGGCCTCCCATTGCTGCTGTCTCCATCGCCACACTCTGCCATGTGCTACTTTCAGGTCTCCTCACACTGCTGGTGTGTTCCATTTTTTGTCATAGGGTGCTGGCAGATTACGGGCCTCCCATTGCTGCTGCCAGGCCCGTAATCTGCCATGGGCCCCCGTACCGCCTCCTCATGCTGCTGCCAGGTCCAGAATCTCTCATGGGTCCCTGTACGGCCTCCCATTGCTGCTGTCTCCATCGCCACACTCTGCCATGTGCCACTTTCAGGTCTCCTCACACTGCTGCTGTGTTCCATTTTTTGTCATAGGGTGCTGGCAGATTACGGGCCTCCCATTGCTGCTGCCAGGCCCCTAATCTGCCATGGGCCCCTGTACCGCCTCCTCCTCCCCATTGCTGCTGCCAGGAGGCAGCAGGGTCGCAGCAGTGTCAGTGGAGGCAAACTGCCACGGAGTAGAGCACCAGCTCCACTGCAGCCTACCACCACGGCCAGTAGTGGTGCCGGTGTGCACAGAGGAAGTAGCAGTCAGCCAGTGAGGAGTAGCGGGGGCAAAGTTTCCTACTCGGCGGTGTGGCAATTTTTCGTCAAGCCAGCCGCCCGAGGAAGTAAACGTAGCCGTATGTCGACTATGTGGCCAGAAAGTCAAGCGTGGCCAGGGGGCCCATGTTGGGACTACAGCGTTGCGTCAGCATATGCAGTGTCGCCATTCGGTGGCCTGGGAAAACCGTGATAAAGATACGGCGGTTCTGCCTGCCCCAGCCCAGGGTTCCATTTTGTCATAGGGTGCTGGCAGATTACGGGCCTCCCATTGCTGCTGCCAGGCCTTAATCTGCCATGGGCCCCTGTACCGCCTCCTCATGCTGCTGTCAGGTCCACAGTGTCTCATGGGTCCCTGTACCGCCTCCCATTGCTGCTGTCTCTATCGCCACACTCTGCCATGTGCCACTTTCAGGTCTCCTCACACTGCTGGTGGGTTTCCATTTTGTCATAGGGTGCTGTATGGCCTCCCATTGCTGCTGCCAGGCCCCTAATCTGCCATGGGCCCCCGTGCCGACTCCTCATGCTGCTGCCAGGCCCGTAATCTGTCATGGGCCCCTGTTGTCGCTTGTTGGCATATTCCGCTCGTTCAGATGCTCCTTCTCCTGCTACTCCTCTTCACGGATTCCGTCAGCAGTCTTTCTTGGAATCCGTTTCCAAGAGACAACAGTTTGTGAGCACGCACCCGACGGTGCAGAAGCTGAACGTCCTCCTGTCCAATTTGCTGCTGCCAGGCTCGTAATCTGTCATGCTCCCCTGTACCGCCTCCTCATGCTGCTGCCAGGTTCAGAGTGTGTCATGGGCCCCCGTACCGACTCCTCATGCTGCTGCCAGGCCCGTAATCTGTCATGGGCCCCTGTACCGCCTCCTCATGCTGCTGCCAGGTCCAGAGTGTGTCATGGGTCCCTGTACGGCCTCCCATTGCTGCTGCCAGGCCCGTAATCTGCCATGGGCCCCCCCCCTACCAACTCCTCATGCTGCTGCCAGGCCCGTAATCTGTCATGGGCCCCTGTACCGCCTCCTCATGCTGCTGCCAGGTCCAGAGTGTGTCATGGGTCCCTGTACGGCCTCCCATTGCTGCTGCCAGGCCCGTAATCTGCCATGGGCCCCCGTACCAACCCCTCATGCTGCTGCCAGGCCCGTAATCTGTCATGGGCCCCTGTACCGCCTCCTCATGCTGCTGCCAGGTCCAGAGTGTGTCATGGGTCCCTGTACCGCCTCCCATTGCTGCTGTCTCCATCGCCACACTCTGCCATGTGCCACTTTCAGGTCTCCTCACACTGCTGGTGGGTTCCATTTTGTCATAGGGTGCTGTATGGCCTCCCATTGCTGCTGCCTCCACCGCCACACTGTGGCTCCACACTCTGGTTTTGGCCCCGTGACTGCCCAAATGAGTGAAGTGTGCGGTGATTCTAAGATCGACGGCACTCATCTGCATGTCATACTGAGTGACAGTATTATTTCTCTTCCCCAGCAGACTCCAAGGGCATTTAAATTAAAGGTACAGTGTTCTGCACTAATATAAAGGCTCTCTGAAGCCTAGAAACACCCTTTTATAAGTTAAATTCGCAGCGAATATATTCGACTCGAATCGAAATTTTTTCACGAATTCGCCGAATCAGTCGAATCGAATTTTTGAATAATTCGCTCATCTCTAATTATTATTATTATTCTTGACAGTTATCTAAAATTAATGAAATATGGTGTTTTTACAGAGAAATTCACCATCTCTGTGGTGCCCCACACATTGATCCCTTATTATGCATAGCTTTCACCAAGATATATATTCACAAATCACATGACTTTCACTATGAATTAATATTTTTTGTTTACTTAACTGGTGGGGGGATAATATCGATAGGTGTTTTGTAGACTGGAGTTAACTTAAGGAGATTCTCAGAAGAGTCTATCTAGTAGTAGGTTGTAATACCAACACTGCCACTAGATGCTACGCTCGCGATAAACTGCCTTGCCTACTCCACTGTATATACAGCTGGGAGAGGGGAGGAGTGGTCACTTCCAGGGTGTTATAATTGTAACTATTCCAGATTACTCTTGAATATTAAAATAATATCAGCTTCTTCTGGCATCCCACGAGACTGCAGATGTCCATTAACCATTTACTTGTTAGTTAGGCCTTTGTTGTGGGTTGCCAAGAGAGGATCACTTGACAAGCAAAACATAGTTTAGCATTCTTACTTTACAACATGAATTTTCACTTTACAAGGGAACTTTCAATTAGTTCAGTGAATGTGGTGAAAACTCACTCTGCAAAGAAACACAATCACGTGCACATGATCAGATGACTGAAGTCCACATTTATCCACCTCATTCACTAAGCTAAGTAGAATTTCCTTTACAAAATGAAACTTCACTTTGCTAGATGAACAGCCTCCTAAAGAGTCCTGCTGTAGCCACCCTTACAAGTGTACTCCCAATTCCTGGTTCTGTGTATCAACACATACAGCCCAAAACTCCCCCCTCCTCAGTTTGATTGACCACATTTTTTGAGGCATATAATATAGATTTTGTCATATGACAAAACTGTGATGCATACAGATTATGCTTTCAGCTGGAAGTTCAGGAATGCTGCACTGATGAACACAGAACAAATGGCTTTTACACCTATTAAATGTAAGTCATCGGGACTATAATTTGGAAGCAAAATCAATATGGTCTAAGTTTCCTTAACAGTCCTGATTAGATTTTTGTGAATAAATATGGAGGTTTAATTCTACTTTTAAAAATGAAACTGAATATATGCAAAATGTTGAGAGAAGTGAAGGAAGCGAATAAGACTGCCAGCTCCATATGCAGATTTCTACAGCAAGGTACCACACCGCATACTGTATTTTCTATTTCAATCATTTTTATTCGTTTATTCCACAAAAAGAAGAAAATATAACAACAGCTTCCAGGAATAAAAAAGTTACAATTGTACAAAGAACCAAGGAAGGCTAGGCCAATACATTTTGAGAGGAGCTTACAGGCACAGTGACAGTCATGGTATGACAATATCAAGCATAATATTCACGAAGCTCATTTCTAATTACAGTAATCTTAACTAACTGCTTCCCTTTCAAGACCAATTGAGTATGAAAGGGTCAAAATCAAAAGCACATAGATAAATAGCAGCATAATCAAACCCTAGTAAGCCACCCAAAAATTCACCTACTATGGTGGGAGGTGGAGAAGGCACAAGATAAAGAGCTTGTGATGGCATTAAGGTTTTTAGAAAGTTTCCCATTAAAAAAGGGGTTATGGACCATATATTCTACCTGAGTGGTATGTAGGAATGAGCTGAACATACCTGGGTTGGTTTGCGGGAGGTTCATCTGTGTGAGTGTTAATCTAAACCCTATTAAAGTCAATGAAAACAAAATCTTCAATTATGTTCTGGTCATTTTCAAGAGCAATTGGCAAGGAAATAGCACACAAATGGCATAGGGTGCCTGACACTGCCCTGGAGGACATGTAGTAATGAAAACATTTTAAATACAGTTTGTCAAGAAGCAGCAATTTTAATAATTCTTAAAGTGAAACATTTAGAATGCTCAAATCATTTAAATAACATGCTTAGGGGATGCCCTAAACCTGCTCGTGAAGTAGTGAATCTGTATAAAAAAGTAGTTTTTTTTTTCTAAATTTTAACTTTCTCTGTAGTACATCCTATAGCATAAATAGCAACGAAATTCATGGGGTTTCCCCTACAAAATGCATACCAAACCCTTATCTTTGTTCCTGGTCTGCTATGGATTTAAGGGGGTGACCCAACATGAAAAAAAAAATCTGTTACGTTCTCTCCAAAATTCATACCTGACCCTTTGGATATTTTCTGATAAGCATGGTTTTTAAGGGGGTACCTGCACACAAAAAACAAACAAAGATTCCACATAACATACATACCAAACCCTCATGGCTAGGAAAGAGGAGACAACTGTGCCCCCCTCCTGAGCCAGTTCAGGCCCCTAGCCTTCAACATTGGGAGGGTGGCTTACCAGGGTACAAAATCCTTGGCAAAGCAACTTGTCCACATGTTAATGAGGGCAAATGCCTCTTCCTAACAACCATCGCCCAGTGACAGTAGGGTTCTTAAATGAGGGGCTTATCAAAAAAATATGAATGGGCCCACAGATACTGCCACCCTATGTAATTGTGTAATGGGTACATAGAACCTCTACTAATTCACAACAAATGTAAACATTAAAAAACCACATATTTATTAACAAGTCCTTTATTAAAAAACACAAAAAATGTCCCATGATCTATATCCACTGTCAATCACAATGTCCAGCAAAGCAGATGCACATCAATCATGATGAACGACACCTATGATCCATTAGAAGAAAAAAAACATTGCGATCACTGAGACAATCCCGTCCCATCACTTTTTTTTGCTGAATGACAAATTGTTGGCTAATGGGTGACATATGTCAGCCACCACACCCTCTCTTTAAATTTACCTGTCAGCCTGAAATTCCTGGCTGACAGCTGAAAGAGTTGCCTAACACGCAGCCTAAGCACCACATTTAATACTGTAGTGGTAGTAGTACTTCTACTAAATGTATCACTTTCTGCTATAGTAGGGGTTTGGCTTGGCAGGCAGAAGAACACTCCATTTAGTTTTTTGTCCTTGTCAGAAGCTTGTTAAGATGCATGTTAATAAGATACCAAGTAGGTAACAGATGTCCCAAACTATTTTTATCTTTGGTTATTTAAAGTTGTACTAGATTATTTACAATTTCCATCAATAATTTGATAATATCCTAAAGATGCGTAAAATCTTCCTAGGGAATTATGCTCTTGAAACCCACTCAAGTAGACCAGAGCTCTGCAGGAGCACAGAAATTAATGAGACTTTGGATTCACGAGGTCTACAGAGTGTTCTGTGACAGGCTTGTCAACAGTCAAGACCGAAAGAAATTTTTCCAGATAGTAAAGGTAAAAAATGAAAACGTACTTTCTCTCATGTTCTTTGAAATAATATTTTGTTTTATACAGCTGACATACTTTAATCATATAGAAAAATGGCAACCACCCCAATTTATAACTAGCTTTTGAAGTAAGGTGCACATGGAAGGGCATTGCACAGTACAAACAAAGATTTCCCAATGCACTTACCAGCTAGGCTGCAAAAAAGGTACTATCAACTTACATTAAAAACAGAGGTCCTAACTTATATTTGAGAGTTTCCAGGTTGGAGAATATACTGTACTGCAGTAGATAAATTAAGGGCATATTCATAGTTATATGTACAGAGACACATTAGAAGACCAGCAATAGTGCAATGGCAGCTGAAGGTGTCCAACCTGTGTTTCCACGTAGAATCCAGTGAACAAGCTATACTAGAATGGCAACCACCCCAGTAAGTAAGGTGCACATGGAAGGGCATTGCACAGCACAAACAAAGGATTTCCCAGAAGACTTACTGCTGGATAGCCTGTAACAAAATGACATTGTCTAACAATTTATGTTAAAAACAGAGGTTTTAGTTGCACACTTACAAATATAGAAGCTGCACTGCTTTGCCAAACCTGCTCTGTAAAATGCTCTTACTGCATATTTGAGAGTCCCTAAGTTGGAGCAGTGGATACATTAAGGGCATATGTGACTGGAAGGGGCAAGGATACAGTAGAAGCCCACAATGGCAGCTGAAGGTGTCCAATGTGTCCCCACACCAAACTACTTTAATTATATAATTATATATTATAATTATAGTTATAAATGCTGTTTTCAGATATACTTGTGAAAACATCTATGTGTTGGCAGATCCAGAGATATTACCATGCAAAAGTGATAACAAACTGTTATTCTATTTTAGGAGTATAAAATATTTAGCAAAAAGGAACAGATTAAAAACAGCCCTTTACCTGACATCATTTAAAAGGGGAACACCACTGCTGTCAATGTACTGGAGGCATTAAAGCTGAACTAAACCCTCATATCTTTTACAGCCAAGTTTGATCTGCAGTTGCCATAGTGCTGCACGTAATCAGTTATGACACAAGCAATTTCTTGGCTTGAGAAATTCATATGCTGTACTGTATATGCATTTTAGAAGTTTACATTTAAAGTGTTATTAAACCCAGGATCCTGCATTCACTATATTTGGTCTTCCACAGTACACAGAACATGGAAATTCAATTATTTTAGTAAATATAAAACGGCTAAATACCTTGCACTGGTTAAAGCTTGTAGGAGGAGTTTTCATTCTGCTCTAGGTGGATGCAGGACCCCTGACCTCTGTCTGGACAGTGCTGAATGGCACTCTCCCAAGAAAAAAAAAAACTCAAGCAAAACACACCAAACTGAGTATGTGCAGAGTGACTCCACACAATATGTCTTATCAGGAAATAAGAGGGGGGCACTGGAAGAAGGGGAGGATCAGAGAAGTCATGTGCTTTTTTACACAATGCGGAAGATTAACCCCTTAGGTTCAACAGTGAGTATAACAAGCATGCTTTACTGCATATACAGATTGATTTTACTGTTGTGGGTTTAGTAACTCTTTACCTGTGTACCTGA